TGAGTTTCCCTGTAAGTTATTTTCCTCCCTATACGCGCTCTTTCTGTGCTCACTCTCAAATGTTGAAATCGATGTATGTCCAAGTCTAATGATCCTCTTCAATACACCGTGCTCCTATCATGTACGGTAGTAACGCATAATGCTACATAAACTTGCACCCTTTTCGGGTTCGCCATATAGCATGGAATCGTCCACAGCTTTCCTTTCCCTCCAAATCACCAATCCTTACCCACTGAGACCTCAACCTCCAGGGTAGTGTCCACAATTGCAAAGGCACCTTGAACCTATGCAGCCTCTGTTCCCTAACCCACTTCCTAACTCTTGCAATTCGGCCTTCAGGTTTATCTAGCGTTTTCAGCTTTGACATTTCATGGAGATAGCTATCTAGAGCCCAGTAGCCTGCTGAGGAAAATTCCTGTTCAAGTTCCGTTGGGGTGATGGTTGGGCTCCATTGTGGTAGACACTGGCCCCAGGTTGGGTCTGGAATCGATATGGAGAAGTGTGGTGTTGATGGTGAGTGTGTTGATGAGGAAGGTGAAGAGAGGGACATTGGGGTAATTTTTGGATAGTGACGGTCCTAGGGGGAGTTCAAGCCTGCCTGAACTGAGCTGTGGTAGGTAAGTACTTAGAAGGGTGGTACCGATTGGGTCAGTGGTGATGAAATTTGAATTTGATGTCGTCTGATCAATCTGCGGGTATTATGAAGTTTGAGATGTTTCTCGATGAGGGGTTAGAGAGCAACAGCTAGAGCCTGATAGGGTCGAGCTGGTAGGAGTGCGTACACACTTTGACTGTGGTCGTGATCATATATAAAAAGTAATATGTAGTCGTGAAACACAGTCTCGATTGAAATGTGAAACGGGATTAGAAACGGGATAAACAGGTTGTCGACCGGGCTGTTGCAAAGATCTAAAGGTGAAACGTTAGTCTGGTTGCATGGCTCTAGGCACCGCCCCCAGCACGCACCTGTCGCTGCCTAAACTGCAAATCGCGAACGGCTAGTCTGGTTGGCACGCGAAGTGCGGTGCAACGTTAAGCCCGATACTGATCATTCCATTTTTTCCTGATCATCCAATTCCAGCCAAATTTTGGTGCCAACCAGACTACCAAATTTTGCTTTCTTGGTTTCTTCTCCAGAACGCCAGCTTGTGCTACTCCTGCTTCACCTACATATAATTCAACTATCTCGAGATTCGGCCACAAATTATCGCAGCTGTTTCCAAGTATAATACCAACTGAACCTGATCATGAGGAGGTGCAGATATTCCATGCATTAAGGTAATATATAAGTATCTATGGTACCCTCCTCTTAAATGTTACTTGTTGCTAATCCCCTGTCACCTCGGCCTGGCTGAACTCGCAGGCCCGCTTGGTACTATCGACCGAACTCCTTCTGCTCAGCACAGCATCCTGATCACTCATGTTGACATCACCTCCAGGCCCAATATGCGAGTTCCGTTTGCCAGCTTCCACCATGAACCTCTCAAACTCTTCTATATACCCATCCCGAGCTTCATACATCTTTATACGTTCCAATATCTTTCGCAAATGGTCCATGGAAGGACCAGCACAGTCCATAAGCTCCCATAATGCCTCAATAACAAAAAAGCCACCTTCATAGCCTTCAGGAGCAGCAGAGGGTGGCAATGATGACCCAGCAAATGGCATCTGTGGTGCTCCGTACATAGAAGCACCAGACTTCCATGAGCTTGATATCGATGCTCCGGTACGTCCAATCAGTCTGCCATACACACCGAGTTTCTGATTCTGGGGATGACTTCGACGTTTCTGGAGATCCATGGGCGTTGACAGTATGCCAGTTCCCGTGCCTTCTCTTTCCTCATACCCTCCTTTATCCGTTACTTCCCATAGTATCCTAACCAATGCCCGCATGGCCTGTTCTTTGGCCCCTCTTCCCAATGGTTGCCTCATTCCCAAGTGCCGTCGAATGGTGTTGACTCTTCTCTTCAATGCTGCTTCACACCACTTTGCATCCGGCAAGCACATCTCTTCATCCTCCGCTAGAGCCCGTCCGGGGCCAGATAACCCTTGACCCCTCCCAGTGAAGTCAAACAAGGATGCACCAGAAAATAGATAGTCAGAATGCCGTCGACATATGGCATATACCTGAGCTTCTATTCGTTTGAAGAAAGAAATAGCACAATACTCTGGGGGAACAGCCTCTCTGAGTGTCTGAAAGAACGAGGGATTGGAAACGGCGAGGCTATATATTGTGGCAGGTAGAGACGGCATCGTTGAAGAGTTGAGGATGGTTGAGAGGTGTAAATCTTCCAGTGGGTTTTGAAATTCCGAAACTGAATTCGAAAAGGACGAGGCTGTGTTGGAAGTGCTATCGAAAGTTGATAAGATATCTGCTACTTGATCCTCAAGCACAAACGTTGGTGTGGTTACTGGAGGCTGTTTATAAGTTGGTGGTGGCTGAAACCGGTATGGTACTTCTTTTCTCCTGATTCCTGGTACTGGCGCCTTGGGAAGCTCCTTCGGTTCCTCATTCCTCCTTCCATCTCCATCTGCGTCAAACCAGCTCCTTTCTTCCATACTCCTCTCGCCCATATTAGGTCTCTCTGTTCTTTGCATTTTCGATATTCGTCCATTTCCCTCAACTCTGCTATTCCCACTGCTCGACCTTCCCATTGCTGATGGTGTACGCCTTCGCGGTGAGGGTGAAGTTGGCGTCCTATACGACGGAAGATGGGTACTGGCATTCTGTGAAGTGCTCTTCGAGCTCTTCAGATACTCTCTATTATCGCCCCAACGTTCATGTGAGCTTGAGTATGTGGCAGGAAATTTCGTGAGGGTAGCATTGAGTGGAGGAAGTATGGGGTGCTGTTCCCCTAACATCGTCATTGTCGGTTGTGAAAGCCTGAAATGAGCTGTGCTTGTTGCCATTGATGGAAGTGGATATGATGATGAGCTTCCAGGACGTTGCTTTTCTTGTGGGTTGGGGGTGCTCGACTGAGATTGTGGTGGCTTTTTATCTCTCTTGAGTTCATTCTCAAGTTGGTGGAGTAGTGACGAGGCGTCACCAAATGAGAGGTTAGTCGCCATGAGCATTCCGTCGGAGTAACTAATTCAAGCTGTCTAGCAATTCACTGTTAGATTGCTGGCTCCTGGATTGGCTTCATGGAGTTCTGGACATTAATGTCAACTTACCTGTGGAGTTGCCGCAGCTAGTATATGATGTCCTAGTTCAGTGTCAAGTGATGCAGAGATTTTTGAGGGTAATTCCACTCTTCAGTGCAGCAACGCCGACAGTGGGTCAGCTGTCAATGGTCAGGAATATCTAGTAGTTAACCATTGTTCGAAAAGATCAAACTGCATAGCTAAAGAACGAATCGAAGCTGAGTAGATATCATAATTGCACATCCCTCGGGGCCTCCGGGGCTACCTACATTTACCCTAGACAAGTCGAAATCGGTGCTTTTTTCATGGCTTGACCCTGTTGGTCCTAACCTACATAGTTATCTCTAGGATTCAGCTCTCTAGATCTGTTATCAAGCTGTGAATTGATATTCTCACGTCCAGTATAGATACCAATGCTGCATAGTTGAATTAATCAATCTTGCAACATCGGAGTCGCCGATTTCATGCACGTTAGTTCACCCTACCTCGAATATTCTGTCATCAGATTCATTTGAACTAAGCTAACTTATGGATCTGATATGGTTCTTGTAGCTACTTCTTCCGCTCCAAAATTCAGTTCTCTCCTAATACCGGCACTATCTACCTGTGCCAGTGGGCAGATTACGTGGAGAGAATTTCGCGATCGCAGGGATACTAACACATAAATTGACATGGATGTTCCCCTTGCTTGATTCCCGAGCGAGAAAGGAACGGGATTGCCGAAACGTAGTTGGTGTCGGAGACGCCGACAACCGGCATGCTGCCCTACTGAGCTCAGACCACCATAGCATCCCATAGGCTAGAGCCTCTACTTTCTCCGGTAATTGCAGCATGAGATATTGGACAAGAGGGAAGTTGCCTGGAAGAGATTGACAGCTTATTTCTGATTAAATTTAAGAATCGCCTATATCTTCTAGTAGAGGACAGCACGTCTCGGTGGTGCCGATCTTTTGTTCATGGCTATGGTATGGCTAGAAATAGAGTATCGGCTACATATTGCCCTACACCCTAAATTCTCTCTAGGTCTTCGGGTATATCCGAAGCCATTGCGCACATAATCAAGTGGAAGATGGGTATGAGACTGCGGAAGGTCAGACACCACTGAAATCTGTATGTATCTCAAAGTGGTAGACTAAAACATGTTATGATCTCGCTCTCTACGAGGGTCTGGGCACGAGACTAGGGAGGAGCGAACCCTTTTTAAGGTTAGCTCGGTTACGCCAGACTAGCTCTGATAATCACAGGCTGACATATTTAAGTAGATTAACACGTGCCTATGCTCACTCGATATCGATAAGAAACAAATCTAAGTTGCTTATCACCCCGCTTGGAAGGAACGGTGATTCCCGTTTTTCTAAAATGTCATCGCGCTCTACGAGTGGCTTGTGCCAACCAGACTAATGTCATCGGAGGGTGCCTCAGTCCCAAAACAGATTGACATGATTGCGCTTTTCATTAGTGGGGCTGTTGTACCAACTTTTCATTATCCAACCCGAAAACTTTTAGCCCAGAAACAATTTCTCCAAACTTGCGCAGCGCTCGATCGCCAGCAGACGCCAGACTAGCCAGCAGAAGTCAGAAGGTCTACTTTTGCCTCATCTCATTATTCGGTTAGGTTTTGATTTGCTGTAAAAGTTGTTCTTTATCGTGGCTTGCAGTGGCGTTATGATGGTTTTGTCTCACATACTGACCTACGAGGGTTGCGCAACAGGTACCTACCTATTATGTACGAGACAAGTTTGAGGCCGAAGCTCTAATCTGGTGCTCAGACCCTCATCGGGACTACAAAGCTTGCTCTCCGTGGAGAAGCTGTATGGTGATGTAGTGGAAATATTTTTATATCTAAAAAAGATAATGCCCGGTTGGCTCAGTCGGTAGAGCGTGTGACTCTTAAGGTGGCTTTGGCCGCTGGCAGATATCTCAAGGTCGCGAGTTCGAGCCTCGCATTGGGCTTCCTTTTTGGGCAAGGTATTGATAGTGTGCCAAGCCTTATTTTGGGGGGGTGAGGTGTCACATTCACATTACCATATTCATGTCGTTCACGGACGCGATCCGGCACAGCCGGAACCTGACAGGTTATTTCAATTTTTTGACCGAACGGCTTACTGTATGTCTCATATGTATGGTATCTGCGGTATTCTGTTCTGAATATGGTTTACCGGTAAAAACCTAATCATCGAAAAGTAAATTCCTCCAACTCTCCCTTATAAAGTAATCGTGGGTCACTGAACCGAGACAGCTCATGACTACTCTCGGCATCCCCGCTGGTGCGTATTTCAATTCGTGGATGTACTCGGTACATACTGTACATATGCACCAAGGCGGCCGCGGGGTGTCCGTGATTGGTAGGTGGATGAAAACTCCGGGGGGAGGAGCTCATGCAGATGTACTAGGGGGTATCCAAAAGTTGATTCGACACACTAAAATATGTATGAATGGGTGCACAGACGACTCCATATAGAATATGTATTGCCTTCCTGTAGGTGTTAAGATTCTTTGAAATCCTACAAATAACCACAAGGTATTTTGCCCGTCAAAGCTTGGTTGCTATGGAGTTCGCCCCCCTGTCAGCGTCGAATCATCAACTAGTCTGGTTGAGGGTGTTGTGCCAAACTAGAACTATCCGTACGGTAATCATTAACCCAACACTTGAGTACGGAATGAGGAGTTGTCTATAGAAAGACACGGCGTCGTTGTAAATAGGGCCTGAAGGTCAGGAATAAACCATATGACACTTTCGAGCGGGAAAATTCTGGTAGAGTAACACTTGATGACAGATACCTAACCGAAGTCCACGTAACCGGTGGGCGCCGCGCTCGACCTCGTAGATCACAGTTTATCTATAGCTTTCTGGGGGATTAATGCCCGTGTGCCGTGGTGTGAGAACCTTGCGAAATTGCAAACTTCGGTTGCTTCATAGTTTATTGGGTGCTGAGCGAATTTCTACCCTATCAACATGAGACTGATCTGCAAATGTAAGGAGACTTACTTGCAGGGATTTATATCCATAAAGCAATTCGGCGACAGCAAGCACTTACAGTGCCTAAAAACTTATTTTAGAATTCACGAGACAAACCTGGCTGGTATTACCCTGACTTCACACATGCGAATTGTCGATGAGAGAACTTCTCGTAGAAAATAACTGTCTCACTGTGCTTGTATAATCCCCCCCCCCCTCTCAGAAGCAGGCGCTAGATCCCAAACAAATCGTTGTAAATATAAACGTATCCTCCATAGGAAGAGAACCAACCCAATCTAGCTCCGTCCATGCAATACAGATCTACAGTTAGCGGCGGCGCATGAAATAAATATAGTCGTGCTGAGGGGCAATATTGCACGACATGGTTTGATGTAGACTGGCGGGCACCGGCCTCTCGTAGAGAGGGTTTGACACTGTAGGGTCTGTGGTTATTCCACCATAGAATAAGTAAGGAAAGGTACAGCAAGCATCTACAAATAGGAAGCCTTTATAATTAGCGTCCCCTGTGGAGAAGTCGGGATGTAATATAAAACTAGACTCGTGCCAATAAAACCTTATAGATAGCGTACAGAAAACGGTTCAATCAGCTACTGACTAATGAAAGCACGAGACTAGTAATACATGAGGGTCTGGTTATAGTGAATACATAAGTAAGTATGCAATTTTACTAGTTGCTGGGAGATACTTCCGGGAACCATATCGAACAGTGATAACGGATATATTGACAACACCTAAGTCTGGTTGCATGACCCCTCCGTAGGACACCACCACCATAACCGCAAGCGAGAATATTAGCGAGAGAAACCCCTACCCGTAATATGTACAGTATATATTCAGTAATATAGGAACCCTATATTCTAGCATGCACTCTATGTATCTGAATGGGAACTACCGCATTACTGCCCGGTAGGTGTTCTGAAAACTAACGGCAGCGGTTTGTGTCGCGCTAAAGTGCAAGGACGAGCATCTGCCTACAAGTACTTATGTACTGTAGTAGAGCTGGATTAGTCCAGGGCACTTATGCGCGGGATATCGAGCTCACTGTATCAATATGCTCTCGTATCAAAAATTTCCAACTACCCCCACACTTTGTACCTCAGGAATACCAGATTTGCGTTTACCGTTATTTTTATATCGGCATCTCTGTGTTTTGATGAGATGGTCGGAAACTCTTGGTATGGTACAATATATAGAGCTAGGACTGTTCTCTTACGACTACCTAGACCATATCAACCAGACTAGACTATATTTAGGCCCTAGCCATGGCTATTGAGGGTCATCCTACACTCTCACGTCAATTGTAAAGTAGCATATATTTTCGCCACCTCCAGGTACCGCGCTACGTTACATCCTCTTGGCTATACGGTACATCCTCCGTATTCCAATTATGCTCAACTAAATCCTATCTCCGATACCGCCCCAGAGGTAAAGTTTAAGCGACTCTTCATTGTAAGCGACTCCGCTAACTTCCTGTCTAATCAAGCTTCTTCACCGGTCCTCACTCCATGCCATCTCGCCATCTGCATCGGAGCTAACGTATTGCCGGCCTGGAGCCCTCCATTTAGAGTAGACATGTAACGAAGGCTGCCTCGGCTCGGAAGCTACGTGACTGATCCAGGATCCCCTGCAGTAGATCCCCTAGCGCACGGCAAAACCAGTGGAGTAAGATTGTCTAAAAAATCGGAGTAGTGGCTCGTCAATTGAAAAAGATTTGATATCAGAGAGAGTATGTAGAGATAATGATAAATTCGAATTCCATATCGTTTAGGGTGTAACCACTGAAAGAATATAAAAAGGATAAGGAGAAAGATACTTAACAAAAACCAGCGGGAATATAACCGCTGCACACAATCCCTTTGAAACTCGTCGTTTTCCCTCTTCAGCTAAAATTTGCAGAGATTTAGTATTTGTAGACTCAGCTCGTTATCAAAGCTTTTGCCACTGTAGGGTCCCCTGGCTTTTGGCCAATAACAAAATGCCTATACGCCCGCACTCAAATTTAGCATACCTATATCCACAGGGAAGAGAAACTCACGTCACAAAATATCCATGCACCTTCTGCTCCACAATCTCCGTCCTTACCTGCCCCAAGAGAGCGTGCACCTCGATCGGCGACCACCCAAGCACCCTATGCAGCAGCGCCATCGTAAACCCCTCTAACCCTTCCATTATATTCACCGCATTCCACCTTCCCACCTCCTTCTCCCTCGGATCCGTACACCAGCTCCCACCAACTGGCGTCTTAACTTGCCTATCACTCGTCTGCCCAAAGCCCACGTCCACAAGCCACTTTTGTACACTCCTAGCAATTTCCATAGGTCGATTGTTTATGCTGCTTGCCTCAAAGATTAATCGCTCCCATTTCCACCAGGCGGTGGACTCATTCAGCGAGCCATCGTCGGACGTGCTGGGGATATGCATCTCAACAACTTCGATCCAGCCGCCAGGTTTGAGCGCTCTTTACGGATTGTCAGTTAAGGGATTGAAATGAGGAGGTAGCCTTACTTATAGGCTTGCGCGAAGAGCCGGGGCCAGTCACGTATTGACCCAAACATACACCGTATGTGAATAAAGTCAAATTGGTCTGGTTCGAATGTCCATTCTGATTCGGCATCATCAAGCTGAAACTGGGCATTGGGTGGAATCCTAGGAATGTGAACATTAGACAAGATGGCAATGGACTTGGTTCTTGGTTGGGTTTACTCACCATAAAGGTTGTATTGGAGAAAGATCTGTATTTACTATTAGCATGACTTTTTGAGTTACGACCTGGGCCTAGATTTGTCTGTACCTGTACCAATAATCTAGCACATTTGTAAGACTTTATTCAAGAACAGGCCACCTAATGGCAACATGCACCTACCTGGGAATTTGGGAATTGCTCCGCCATCTCGATAACCCATATACCAGTTCCGGTACCAATGTCTAAAATTCGCTGTATTTTGGTGTGGCCACTGTCGATATCATTCAGATGAGACATGCATGAAAACAAATCACAAACGTACCTCAGGGTCGAGACCGATTGGTGCCCGGAAGAGCTCGCCATTAAGTAGTAGTGTGTAAACATGGTGACTGCAGAAAAGTCAACCTCAGCTCAAATTCAGCCATGTAATTTTGGGGTGAAAACGCACAATATATCTAACTGACAGTTTTGTTGCTGTTCACATGTGCTTTTTGTAAGTAATCCCTCACCCAGTTGTGGGAAAGGAGTAATACCTCATCATTCGGGCACATATATGATCCTATGTGAGGGATGGGCTAATGTCAGTATTCCCGAACGTAACTTGACCTTCAGAATTCGAGCGCAATTGGCACTTCCATGACAGCCCGCATACCTTGTCTAAAGGCGTGATATCTCCGTCCATTTTCATATTGATAATCCAATACTGAGCTACTCAGAGTGACGGTATCCGCCGCAAGGTCATTCCCAAATTGTTGAACCTCATCACGAAGAACAGTCTGCGGAGAACTACTAAACCGCTCCTCAGACCATTTCTTAGCATTCAATCTCAGTCTTTCAGCGCAGGCGTTGAATTATGTTACTTTGTAAGCTCGGATTCATATCCGGACTCGTAGAAGCGAGCCTACTATTTATTAGCGTCAATTATCCTCGATCAAAGGTGCAAAAAGAAGATTATTAACCTCGCCCATCCCAGCAAGTCGAATGCAAAAAGCTGCTGCGTAAAGAAAGTTGAGAATAAAGAGTTGATTCCTCCCTTCAACGAAACGATAAATTCGATTTCTGTGGTTTTTTAGGTTTCACAATCAGGTGGCTGTTCCTGAGCTGGTTGCAGAGGGGGGGTGAGCAGCCTCGACATATGCACGGGCCAGATGGAGAGCAAGCTGCAGGGTAGGCAAACCAATTTGAGACGAGCATGAAAAAGGGCCAAGGAAATCATTCCCAAGAGTATGGATTCTTGTTGACTTTGTTCAACTGGGGAGAGAAAGCCTGAACGTTATTGCGGGTTGATTG